TACTACTAGTAGCCGGCTCGAATTATAAAACTTTCACCGTAGAGTCTGGGACAAGGCGAGCGATCTGGAATTTTGCTCATTAATTGCCTTTTTTGACCTATGATTCCTTTCGAGTATCACATGAATGCCAAGCTATCAGTTATTCCATCCAGAATCCGACCTGTCTATTTGTTGATGTAGAACAGATCTGTTTTCGACACAGGGACATATCAGAGCAGGTGCAGCTCTTTCTAAGTTCAAGACAGAAGGCTCAACAGTTCCAGTACAAGAGAAACGAAACGAGATCTGATTTTGCTTGTCTACGAATTGCAAATTAAAGCGAAGAAATTCATGGAAATCCTTATTTGCAACAAGAAATACGCAAAAACACTTGAAGAATTTCATTACACAATGACCTTAAAATGACATCTTAAGGTAAAGAAGAGGATTCTGTGAAGTTCAATACAATGCTACTCGTCTCAGGATAACTGACATAAAACGAACCCATTCAAGTGAAACTACAAAGTTGAATGATAGTTTTATCAATAGAAATAACTTATAGCATATGTTACGCGCCTGAAACTATGTCAAATAATTAACCACATGGACTTACACCATAAAGAGTGGATCATGGCGGCATGGATCATGCACCCGCAAGACATTCATGTCTCTATCTAAGGAGGTCACCAATCGCTAAATAGCGGAAAAATAGCTCACGTTACAGCGAGCACTCGGTTTAGATATTATTCACGGGATAAAAGTACTGAGAGTAGATTACCATTACATATTCGAAGGAAGTAAAACAAAAAACAAACGGGACAAGGAGGTGAGAATGAAATGATAGTGACAGTCGGGAGTCAGCTACAGGATTAGGGAGGGACACGGTTGTGCTCCATGTTTTCATACCCCTAAACTTATTCTGAATGAACGACCCCTTATCCCTGCCTTCCCTAGGCACCTACCTATGAAATCGCAAAGCTTTCTCTCTCTTTGGATCACGAGTATGGCAATTCTCAATCCTGCTCCATCTTCAAAGGTATGAAATCAATTTCAATTTCACTACGTCCACCAGTCTAACGCTGACAACACTCGAAACTGGCACAATTAATAAGGAGAAACCTTGACAGGTGGAGGAATATAAAGGGAGGAGTTTCCTATAAGAAGCACTGTTATTAAAGGGAAGACAACTGATGATAGTCATACCAATACCAAAGCAAAGCACTAATGTTGTTCGAAAAATGCACAAAGTTGCTTGAGCAAGGCTTATTTCTTCAGGTCAGTAGTGTAAGCAGAACAACATGGTGGCTAAATTCTGCTCTTAGCTCACACTCAGACATTAGACGAACATCACAAGTCATTATAAAATTGTCATATGATATTACCTGATTTTAAAAGCTGTTGAGTAATAAGAGACCCTATTCATAACAGTGCTAATAATCTTCATATCATAAATTCTTGAAAACAAGAAAACCGGCTAGCGCTGCTAGAGCAGCTCCGAAAGTTATTTTCTGCAGTAAGTTAGAATCATGAAGGTAGTAGACTCGTCTCAAATGAGGGTATACGGCCATAGTCGCCAACTGCTCGAAAATTTGACCGCTGGCGACACCGATCTGAAGAAAAAAATTTAATTTTTTTGATGTCGCTTTCGTCAGAAAAAACGTCAAACTGGTGATTCAGGAGCAACTAGTAAAGAAACAACGTGGGAATTAGTTAGATATAATTTCTTCAGGAATAGACTCTGGACATGTGACCGTTCTTTTATTTCAGATTCCATAAGTAAGAGATGCTGCTTGTCTCTGCATAAGACCAGGAACGGCCACAATTCCCTTGCCAGAGATGTTACAGATTAATAAATAGAAGGAGGTAATATTAATATTAATAAGGGGTTACTACCACCTACCACTCGATGAGAGACACCAAAAAGTTAGATACAAAACACGCTCCGCACCTGGCTGCTTGTGAATTTGATTGGCCGCGGTAGTTCGAATTGCCTACAGAATTCCTCTGGCGACACCTCCCATCGTTGCTCAACCTCTTCGCGTTCCACCTTTGTCGCTATTATGACGCATGGTGTTCTTGTGCTGAATATGCAACAAATGATCTGTTTGATAAGCGGGAGCAGATATCGACTGACCGGTAAAAATATTTCTGATAAATTGTCGCACAGAATGCGAATGACTCGGGATTACTGATGTCATAGAGGAATGCTACCACGTCGGCGGTCGTTTCTGCGCTACTCAGCACATCCTGTGGTGAAAGCACATCGACCTACAATGCAGATTATTCGGCAAATTTGAGGGCTCCAGAGGCACCAACTAAAGGAAACTCACTTCTCTGAGTAATAGGTACTTACTCTCCTCTTTCACCTTAACTCGATTAATCACATACGGGTAATGCCTTCGACCTGTGTGCACTGCATCTAGCAATCCACGACCGACTAAGGATTGCATGAAAACACTCTGAATTGTCAAATTGCTTCGTCGTTAGGATAGTATTTTAGCATTACCACTCTCTGCCACTTTCGTTTACCTTTCCAGTATCCTTTGCTCCAACGACAAGGCACTGGAATACCCGCCGAGTGGTACCACGCTCAGTTAGATCGATTTTGCGCTCTCGCGTGATCTTTATGGCATCCGCAGAAGAGCCAGCTCGAGCTTAAACACTTCTACTCATGCAAACCTTATATGGTACGAACCGCCAAATCAACCGTCCTTCAACCTGCATGAGATTTTCCAGATCGGCACCTATTTTCTACTTCAATATATCCATAACAGAACTGCACTACAGCTACATACACATGATCAGCTCAATCAGAAATAGATTTTTCTCCTTCTCAGTTTACTTTCTAAAGATTACCAGCCCTATTACCGATCAAATCTCCTGTTCTAATGTTTCAAGATCACAACAAGCTTTCGTCGTATACGGAAAACTTGAATTTGTCCTTACATGAATATCCTTACGTGCTCTGGGCTGGGCGCTAGTGCATCTCGTAATAGCAAATAAATGAATAGTTGAATGTAAATCTTGACAACGTTGGAAAAAAGTAGGACTTACTCTGCGTGCTACGACCGACGGCAAATCCTAGGTAAGCCAACTGTTCCATCGTTTGCGACACATTGATCAGAGTAGTCATACTGAAAACCATAATGTGGATATCGACGAGAACTCTTCATTCGAATGCGTCTTTGCTTACTTCCAATATGCCATATACCCAGCGTAAGTAATCCATCCGCGAGAATTAGTTTCAACAGCCGATAATATCTGTAACACAGAATTGGCCGAATACAACCACACATACTGAGAAGATTTACAGAATTTAGATGGCAACGGAATATATAACCCAGTATTCAATCAAATCATACTAATATTACCCCACAGCAAAGCTATAAGCAATGAAGATCTCCAACAAATGTAAAACATGTGAGAAAAGAACTGAACCAACCTCCCTGCTCAACGCTGCTATTGGACAGACACTGAAAAGATTAGCGAGTTCGCAAGGTGACAGACATTGATCTTTATCCTCGTCATGCTTTTCGAACAGGGCTGAGAGAAATTGAATTCCCTCTGGCGAAAGCTCAGTGGAACAGCCAACTGGGACCTGAGGTCGAACAAGCTTTCAGTGAAGGCATCACACAGAATGGAAGCGTATAGAAGGTATTGTGACAAAATAATGACGAGTAAGAGCAAAGAATGATGGAGAAGGACACCTCGTTCTTGAAAACGGAAGAAGCAAACCTTATAGGATAAGAATGGCCTACAGCTAAGACACAGAACAATCCTTACCTGAATCCTTGGATAGAGATAATCCTCTCCAAGTTTTAAGTTCGACTCATACCCAAACTTCCGCAGTACCGTCCATGTGGTCTCATGTCGTCCTCTCTCAATGAAGAGGAGATTGAGGTAGAGAAAACCTGAACCGTGTGGGATTATTGGATGAAGTATTTGCAAAGCTTACAGGTAGATGTAATTTGTCGATATTAGGAAAACAACTAGTAACACGACCGAAAACGAGACTGTCTTCCTGCGGAACTAGCCTGGTAGAGAAAGAGAACCCTCGACGATCCCATCGCTACAGCCATCTGCCACAGCTCTCTTCACATCTTCTATCGCCGCAGACGTTAACGGTATCCCAAAGCAAAGTTTTTGAAATTCATTAAGTTCAGCATCATTCAGATAACCATCGTTGTCTCTATCGCAAATCTGCAATATTTTACCTTACCATTCTCAAATATCAACCAAAAGGAAGGAACAATGTCCATTCGTGATCAGTTGACAGGACAATGAAGGAATTAAGAAAAAAAAAAAGCGAACGTAATGACACTTGTTTCCGTGCGCTATCAACTGTTTTCGTGATCAATTCAAAAATAACAATACCTTGAAAACTCGGATAAGTGCTTTGCGGGTTTTATCCGTGAGTCGTTTCTCATCTGCGTCATAAAGTGGCCTTGTAGGATGTACGACGGCTTTCTGAGCATAGAAGAATATCTCGCTAACATTTTTCATAGTCTTCGCTGAGCACTCGACACAAGTCTCAACCTCCGGCCACCGCTCCATAATCGGTAACACCTAAAATTAGTTGTTAGTATGAAAACGCTCATTCTCATCGTTCAAAGGATTTCGGTCTTCGTAGAAGTAAAAACTCTGCATAGAAAGGAAAAGAAGTCACTGCACCAGAGCGATTGTCCTGAAGTAAAAACCTAACTTATCCGTATGATTGGTGGAGCCATCTGATTTATTACCAACAAGAATTACAGGAATTTCGTGCTCAGGACCGTATACATCACGTAATAATGGAAGCCATCTGAAAACATCGGCTTGGCATTGTTCCATAGAACTTAGTGTTTACTTGAAAAATGTGCAATACCTGTCAGTTACCCGTTTAATCGTATTGTCATCAGATACCGTATAAACAATGCAAACGACGTTTGCCTGCTTGAGTTCGTTGACGATATATGATTCGCCTGAACTATGAAAGAAAGTGATTGTGGACACGTGATTGCTATGAGATCGTTCCCTCACCTTCATTCCCCACCGAGCAATCTACGATGGACGTGGTGACATTTTCCGGTGTAACGTCTGCAGGAATCAACACTCTACAACAATTAATATGAATCAAGAGCGCTAGAACGTAGCATAGCGGAAACAAGAATCAATGAGAATAGCAGCATCTCTTAATAATAACATTTCTTCATCATTACTTTATTTAATGGTTACTTTCGAGTCCGCCGACATGCCTTCCGTGCACTCGGAAGGCATACCGGCGGACTCTGAATGCAGCCACTAGCATAGAGGAAGAGTATCCTTTAGTTTAGCTTTCGTTTAGAAACATGCAAAACGGATGCTGAAATATGGTATCATCCTCCCTGTCCCACCCCTCTCATAGACGTTTTCATTTTGTACATATTCAGAGTATCATACCGATCTTTGGGTACACCAATCGTCAAGAACCTGAGTAATACATGTATTACTTCGGCAATTGTAGCATCACCCTAAAGAGGCATGAAAAATTGGAACAGAAGGTGTGTCCCTTTTACCAAGTTTTTTCACCGGCAAGAAAACCAGTTGGAGCTCGCAACATGAAAACCGTTTGAATCTTCTGTGAACGAAAATGTAATACAAGAAAGAATTCTATTGTTTACCTGTCTAATTTGGCTGGAACATTCTCGACCCATTCGTCTTCAAGGAGGCTCATCACCAAAGAAGTTTTCCCAACTCCAGGTTCTCCGACTAGGAGGATTCTTACATCAGCTTGCACTTCTTCCGCCATCCACTATTCTTGATGAGAGAAACCTGGCACAAATTATCTCGAAAAATAGCTAGAGAGAAGGGCATAGTTCGCTACAATTGGATCAGTAGAATAAATATAACAGCTGGTTCATACCTCGGAAAAATATTTGACATTTTCAACTTATGCGATAACATTTATGTGTTTGAACTACACCAACTTATTAACAATAACAATTAATCCGTAACAACAGCAACATATCTATACAGGCCTTCCATGAGGCTTCTAGCGAGCTTTCTAATTGGCCATGACGTCTTTGCGCGACTTCACTTCAAGCTTTTCCTTTGACTCGAGTTCTTCCTTCTGCTTGAGATTCCGAGTCTCTTTTCGTAATTCAATTTCAAATAGCTCCTCTTGGTACACTTCCCTAAAAAAGACATAATCTCTCAAAAACGGCACGGACTGCGAAAGTGTTTTACCTGAAGATTGGAATAAGTTTTGGCACCAATCCAAGTTGATCGAAGCGAACGGACAAGTTGTCCATGGCCACGCCTACATTTCCACTTTTCTCTAGATATGCCGGCAAGGCAGGCACCTGGAACACAATTTCAGTGAGTTTTTACTGTGTTTCAAGAGTTAAACCATTCAAAACATTAAAAACGATGTAGAAGAAGAAATGTACCACTAAAACTCTCACGAAACNATTCGAATAGTCTTCACCAGAGACCCGATAAGAAGTTGATGAGAAGAGGAGGAAGAATAAACCAAGTGTAGATTCAACACTTCAGGCAATAAAGGCAAAAATAATGAAGTAGAAGAAGGGGAAAACAACTACAAACCGTGCCAACTAATATTACAGAGCACTGCAGCTCCCGTCTTTATATAATTATGAAAAGGCATAGAATCATAATCTAAATGAAGATGGTGATGTGAGGAAATGTAAATTAAATATGAATGGACAAAGGAAACGCCCGTGAACAGGTATAAGAGGCACCGTGGAAGAAAAATAATTGAAAACGTTATAGGGAACACGAGACCAATTCGTTGTGAACGTAGAAAGGAGGAAGTACAACAAAACGAAATGGTAAGTCGGCGAATACGAATGGAGCTGAGAGGAGGGAGAGAGCTGGTTCAACATTCTCGCCAAGAAGGGATCGAGTCGATTGATAAATTGTTCGATCGACATTCGCTTGAAAATTCATACCTTTGGGTATCTTGCGCTGAAGTGTGTCAAAATGACGTTTCGCGCCCTCATTTTGCGACCAATTTCGACTGCCTGGCCCATGGTCGAATGTTTTTTTCTCAAAGCATCAGCCTGGTATACAACACATATACACTCAACAGAAAAAGAAACGATTAGATTGCGCCAAAGTACCTCATGCCCATCTTCAAAAGTGGCTTCGTGAATGAGCAAGTCAGCGTTTTGTCCTTCTTCTACCAACAAATCGCAGGGCTTCGTGTCTCCAGAAAATACAACTCGCCTTCCGTTGATGCCGAAAATGAATCCATTCGCCATTCTGGTGTGATGCACCTAACAACATTCCAATGAACTTCACATGACGATTCCAACGGGTTGAATGGGGAATGAAGTACATAAGAAAATAGTTCTGATCACTCACTATCCACAACTGACCTGGACAGCTTTTATTTCTTGAACGTTCCACGTTTGCTCGTCGAAGAGCGGTCGTGGCATTTGGTCAATGACATTGCGGCACGCTGACAACACAGGAGATGGTAATCGACGCCTTTTTGTCGGAGGTCCGGGACTATAACAGCGATGTTGCAAAAAAATCTTTTTTTAATACACATTATTGCAACGTCTTTCATTATCCTCTCATGAACTATCAAAAAGGTATTTTCATACAAAAAATTCTGACTAAAATAGGAAATAGTCAAAATATTCAAGAAATGATTGGAAAAAACGAATGAAACTTCTAGAAAATACCTCGCTGGAGGGGTAATGGGATGCCTTGAAATGTCAACTATCTCTAGCAACGATTCGAGATCAGAGAAACACATCGAGTAAGTTTTCAAAGGTTTCAGAACATTCCGATTGCAAACTAACACCAGAGGTGTGTACTGATTTCCTAAACACAAATTAACAAAAAATGAAAGGATTATTCAATAAGCAGCAACGACAAAAATATGAAAAGACTGACCATGACCTTCAATCGCCTCCTTACGCCGCTCAATAATTGTGTATAGACCATTCATGTGATCCTGATGAGCATGTGTTACAAATACGGCTCTCAACTTGCGTAGTAACTGGAAATTCAATAAAGATAAAATTGTACGAAAACAAGACTGTGAACTTGTTAAAGAAGAAACCGCTGAGTTCGAAAACACTGAATGACCAAGGAACTTTCAGGATGGCTTTTTTCAGGAGACTCATGTGAAGTGGAAAATTGCCGTGCGATTGCATGATAAGAGTACATATAAAAACTTAAAAGCTCTCAGGTTAATATTACCAATATTTCCATCTTGTAGGAAGTTATTAATGAAACTATGGTTGAAGGCGATACTATTATTGGGGCTGGTACCGTACAGAATACTAAAAATTGCCTCGTGTATGCCTATGCAGATCGAATTCCATGCAAAACGGAAGTGAATCACCTTAGCAAAAAATAGCTTAAATTGAGATATCAACAAAGATTTCAAGGAGCAGAGGAACAAACCTCAGCACATCCTTCATTCCCATGCATCACACGTAGTTGACCATAGGTACCCTCACCCACATCAATAAGCATTGCTGATGAAGGACTGGCTTCCAAGAGGTAGCTGCTAACATTGCGGTATTTAGAAGGCACCGCCGAAGATGTTCCAAGAAAAGAAACTCGTGGATATTCACCTCCAGAAGAAGACGAAGCGCGAAGTTGTCTCGCCTCTTAATGAATACAAAAATGATCCTTAATCACTGGTACAATGCAATTTCTGCGATGACATCAAACTTATAGACAGAATAGAAATGTCCTCCAGTTTTTTTCAAATCACCTAAGAATTTCTACATGACAAGAAAACTTTCTCGACCAACGCTCATTAAAGTAATTATCCGATAAATTCATAAAATTGATTTAAAAATATGAAATTCAATTCTTTTAAAATGACCCGAATGCTTATTACGTTATTTTTCGAACGAGGTGCCAAGTGTTCACATCACTTTATGAGCTCAGAATTAAGTTTTTGAAACAAAATTTTCAATCGGTAACACACTTCATATGCAACACGAATAAAATAAGTGTTTATGAAAGGTGGAGGAATAATGTTTTCTGATGCTGTAAAAATCTGTTCCATTAACACCGTGAAGAACTTCAGAAAGAGAGATACGAGTTGTGTACCTTCATGAAGATGGCGAATCAAATTCTTGGCGGTTTCGGTGAAGTTAGGGTCAGTATCACGCAAGTCAGCGATTATGGGCTCTTCTCCACTTCCTGAATTTGTAAAAAGTACTGAACTAAACATCAATAAGCAACTATAAACAAACTAAACAACATCAACATAAACATCAACATAACGATAAACATCAACTTGAGCAAATGTGATAAAAAAGCAAGGAAAGATTAATGAAAATGACGACAAGCACCTCCCATTCTCATCCAAAACCGCTGTAAAGGTGCAGCCTTAATGTACACTCCATCATACATCGCAAGTTCACTCCCTTGTGTCACGAGCCCCTTCCATCCCAGTGGATGTAACTGTGGGAAGAGATCTGGGCAAATTCGATTGAGCAAGCGATGATTTCTGAACGGTTGAACAGACAAAACAAATAAATACTCTTTTCTGAAATGAAGAAGTCCAAAAATACCTGAAAATACTTTCAATCCCCGGTACAGTGGGACAAGACGCGTTTACGACGACATGTTTACATTTTTCTCCAAGAGATGCAACAAATTTAGCGTAGGAGGGCTGCTGAACGACACTCTGGTCGCTCAGATGAACAGCGTAATCGATATGAGAAGAGCCGCACAAATACTCCTGAAAAAGGAAACCTCACATAATGGTATGTAAACAAAATTGAACACAAAACTGTGCACTTTCAAAGACGTCATCGAAGACTGCGTTTTTGAGCTGAAATTATTGTTTTTCGGGCAACTCTACACTCTTTCGCACTATCCAACGGAAGCACTGTTCCAGTATGAATGAAATCGAGCATTCAAATAAGAAGCACCTGTAAAACTGAGTTTTCACTTAACGCCTTGATGTGAGCTTCACCTGAACACTCGAATACCAGAGTCCTACGATGTTCTTCCTGCAACAAAATCAGTTCACGGAAGATTTACTTGGAGAGGCCTTCTTATTCATGCAGCGAATTGTAAGCTTTGCAGAGCTCCATAATACAGAGTGACTATCTAACAGATCAACCATACCTTAGGAGCCTCGTCGGATAGCACATCGCATGGTCGCACTTCTCGGCCATCAGGAAGCACTACAACGTCGCCATTTTTGAGCTTCCCTATGAGAGGTCCTTTAGGAACCTAACAACATTATGTTGAAAATTAGGATTACAGTGACAAGTAACAAAACAAGAGTTACTATCATCCAAATACCTTTTGTGCTATTAGCTTGAGAGGATCGATTCGCCTTGGAGGCGTTTTTAACTCAATAAGATATGCTATATTTAGAGAACCTGCCTGAAAAAATAGAGTGTAATGTATCACCAACTGAACAAACTCTCTATTAGACAATTTTTTGACACCCCAATGACTGCAGGGGTTCGTTAAATATGGTTTATGAAAGCAACAAAACATCTTAAAAGTGGTACGAATTTCTATAAATGAGCACCTTGTTGTCTGATTTATGTAGAGGTGCGCTCAGCGGTAAATATGTTACTCTTAGCGCTGCGTCCTCATAACTTTCCAACGTGTATGGCCTTTCTTCAACCTTAAGAAAAAAGAATATAGATAGGAAAAACTGCTGGACTTCTGAAGTTATTTGCATACCTGGGAGGGGTACTTTGTTGATCCGTAATCAGAATCTTGGAAAGGGCGAATACATTCCAGAAAATGTTTCACGTTCATTGCACCATGCAGACGAGTGGGTAAGCAGTTGGACTCTTTTGATAACAAAATTGACGATATTCCAGCTATATTATCCCATGTAGCTGAAAATACTTGTCTCTCGGAAACAAAGAGATTGACGTTAGACAAGTGCAAAGTATTTTGTGCAAAGTAAAGTAAATTGACTAGAAAGACGGATTCAAAATAAGTGAGAGTTTGATAAAAAGCTTTTAACATGCATAGATCAATGCACATAAATAAGCTTAAATTCTTGTGTATGGTTTTGCACATTAAGCCTAAAGAGTAGAAGCAGCGGTATCTGAAACCACCTGAATAAGCTGTGGCCACAGAATCTGCAAACTTCAGTTTTGATTTTTTTTTTCTTTCTCGATGGAAAACATTACGGTTATAATGATCACTTCTCAACCGAAAAGCTCGTCTATTTTCGAATGTTTTACTTTTCGGTAATTGCACCTGAACATATATTTGCCCTACGCAGTGGCTAGAAATAAATCGCTGAGCTGTACAGCCGCGGTTGGCCATAAACTCCATTTCTGCAGGCGACCAAGTACTACCGAACCTCCCCGGAAGGATAAAAAGATTGGCCTGTACAACGGCTGCCCATAGCAAATCATTGCACATGCCAAATATGTATACACTATAATGCAGCATAATTCCAATTGGGTGCCCACAACGTGATGCGCTTCAGCTACAAGAAAAGTTGATAAGCAGCAAAAACTTGGCCCCTCATCCTTATCTGCACTCACTTTCTCTCAAGGANATTATGGCGTTCACACCCATATGCGCGGTTTTCAGGCCTGCGCATTAATGTTTCTGCGAGTAGATAAATAGCGACCACTCAAATAGTAAAAAAAAAATTCAAAAAGGAACATAATGCAAATTTTTGGGGGTTATTAAATGTAATTCAAAACATACAGAGAAACTAACATCGCGTAATGAAAATATCGTTGACATTGAGCGACTTCATGCGCAATTGTGGAAGAAATCGTGAAGCGCCTTCCGGACAGTTGAATAGGTAGATTTTCAAAGGAGTGCGGATTGCGACACATGCACGTAAATGGCACGTGCCGTTTCCCAATATCTGAAAGGGATCACGGAAGTCTATCGAAAACATGAAGACGTTCCGTAGTGAAGAATAAACATAGAATAAAAAAAAACTCAGTCTGAAAACTGTAAAATCAGACTGTTGTTTGAGCGTTTTATAGGATATAAAAACTACATAAATTCGCATTGCAAGAAACTATTATTATAAACTACTGGTAGAATATTTTCGACGTGATTCTACAGACCACAGAGACTGGCGCTGTTTAAAATCAATGAGTCTTCCACGCTGGTAATCGAAAAAAATGAAAGAAAGAAGAATATAAGTGCAAGAAAATAGTGACCTCAATCGACACATGGGCGGGAATATTGGCGATCGAACTAGCTGGTGACTCAAAAGCATCACGACGCTTTTGCTGTGCATTATTCATTGAAATGTTTAAATTCGCGATAGAAGAGCTGAGTTCTCGTGCTCTGTAAAAACCGATATGTGATCAAATATTTTCATTAAAGTTAGGAAGACAGGACTAACTTAATATGAGACAAGGAGTGTTTTCTTAAAATTTGTCTATTTCTACTGATTTTCTTCTCAATCTCGGCCAGAAATTCCTTATCGAAGGTTTCGAAGTTCTTCTTCTCGCTTCTCAAAAGAGACGACGAGAAAATAGTACGAGTACTGAAAATAAAAACGAAAAAACCTTCAACTGTAGCAGAAACTAACCATTTGAAAACTATATACTGAGAGCTAGAGGAAAATTAGAATCATAGTTTAAATAGCCCAGTTTTTTACAATTTTTTTCAACGGGAGATTTTTTCTTTAGGTATTCGTACTACTCAGAAACAAGGCAATGCGGTAGGACGCAGTTTAAAAAAAAGAAGTCACAATATTCTTAGTTGGCTAAGAGCGATTAGTTAGTTAGATGCACTGCTAACGGTATCCTTATAGAAATATCTAGAATTTACAAGTGAAATGATCACTGTGCCTCTTTCAGTATAATTCCAAATAAAACAAACTGTCAATGGTCAAAAATAGACAAAATCAACCCACCACTTTCTAAAGGGAACTATGAGAGAGTGAATTCTTGGAGAAGCGTTCATCGATACATCACTGAAACTAACTAGTTTTCACAACAAGCCACCTCAGCGGTTTCTTAAGGAATCAGGGGAACTTTTGGCTTTCTTGGATGTATAAGAAGTTTATCGACTCCAATAGGCATTAGTGATTTTCTAAATTCACTAGATACAATTTAGCAAGGAAGAGTAGTTTTTTGAAGATATCGGCGTTCTCTAGTCAAAGTGAAGGCAACGCAGTGAGAAGTGAACAACGCCACATGGTGCTAACCAAGGTAAGCGAGTGAGAGTCGAAACCAGGTTAGCATTAACCGCCTCCGGGGGTAAATTAGAAAAAAAAGGTTAAAACCACCCAGGCACTCCTCCCACATCACCTTCTTTCAGCGCATATGTGAAGTTCCCAAGCGCATGATTGGTGAGGGAATCAAATGGTTGACCTAACTGCGCACAGCAACCTCATGGCCTTATATCCTGGGCGAAACTACTCCCACTAACAGAATTAGGTTCTGAGCAACTTCACAGGAAAATCCTGAACGAACTGCTTCCATATATTTACTTTGCAGATCCGCCCATGTCGCTAGCTTAACTACGTTTCACAAACAGCCTAGAGCAACACGTAACCCGAAACCTAAAGTGAAGTGAGTTTTGAGCCTTTTTCATGTATGTAGGGACTAGAAAGGAGCACAGTAGTGATAAAGGGACTGCTTTTGAACTTAATAGAGAGTCAGACTTCTGGAATTCCCGGTAATTACTTTCTGTTCAGCGCTTATGAAGCTTATGACGCTCTCTTCTTCTTTCGCAGGCTTTTACGACTATATGCAAAGGGTAAGAGGGACACAAAACAAATAACCAGAGCGAAATCGAATCCAACTCTCAATTGTACGTGTCCTGGGCTTTCCGTATCTGCCGAATTGTCAAGCAGAAACTCCAAGACCGCCTCATCATTTTAGAAAACTTTCAGTCTTACACATTCAGTACACATGGAACAACACCACAATAAAAATACGAAAAACAATTTTTAACTGGTTTTATTTTCGTTGTCCAACTGGCTGACAACCGTAAATGAGCTACTTGCTCTCAACTAGTGAAGAGAAAACCTTCCTAATCAATGAAACTTTGTATAACTCTATAATAACTATTGTGTCCTAAGCTCAACATACGATTTTAACGTACGACAATAACAGCAAACAAAAGAAGCGACTCGAGAGCATGTTGACGGTCGACAGATTGATGGGGATAACAACTCTTTGAGGAAAACAAGTATTCTAGGAGGGAAGAGCTGATAACAGGAAATCAGACGGAACAAACAATATACGATAAAGGAGGGAAAGGATTTCGAGAGCAACATGAGTCAGTAACAAAACAATCACACCGAAAATGACAACGACCCATTACGAAAGTAGCAGAATCGTATAATTACAAAGAGGCACTCAGATCCATAGGACGCCTGTGTGATTCCACCTTATCTAAATAAAAACTCTCGGAAAAACTCATAGAATTGGTACGGAACCAGTCAAAGTCAGCACTGCCAATTCGAATTTAGATAAGTTGCCGACGATATTAATCAAACAGACCAAAGTAAACTAGAGAACTGTTCCTGACAAAAACACCTAGTAAAGCATGGAATAGTAAAGAAAACACACAAGCGTTCCGTGACACTTAGTGGATCCTCGCTTAAGACATGTTCGGTAGTGCTGATGGGAGACCAAAAGGCATCGAAGAATGACTGTCATGCAAACCAGGCTCTGCATGACTTTTCGGAGGTGGTAGATTTCTCGGATCGTCCAGAGCCTCCGGCTGGAAAAAGCGCAGTTGATATTCATTAGAAATAAAATATTAGAAATCCAATAACAAAACCACACACTGGCAATACATTCTCACATTCCTTTGAAAAACAACCAACCGAAGAAGTGATTCTAAGAGGCTTCGGAAAGAACTGAGTGAACTAAACTTCCACTCAAGAAAGGACAATTGCAAAATGAATGCTTTTCTATAAACAGTACCTTAATCTAAAGAACCCTGCACTGAACTATCAGCGCAAACTCCAGGACTAACATCGCCCTGATTATCCGCTTCATATCTTAGGTCACAACATAACAGTCGCCGCTCTAAGACATTTTTCCAGTTATCAGTTCGGTTTTAATTTTTCGTCTATTGAGCACAATCACCCTCACTAGGCAATAAAAGAATTGACGATTTCTTTTTCTTCTGTTGAAACTCATAGTTAGGCGAGTTATTCCAATTTTACATACTCTCCTGCTCATCTTCGCTATACTCTGCTTTTACCCTGTAGTTGAAGGATTTTGCTTCTACTGCAAAAAGTGACGAACATATATGATATTATTCAAAAAAAGTCTGGATAAGAAAACGATATGAGTTGACAAAATGACACAACGTATGTAATGAGGAGATATAACAGCGCTTATGATAACCAAACAGCACAATGAAGTCTGATAAGCGAAAGGAGGGCGAGGTCAGAGCACGGAAAAATGCTGATTATTATCCGTCAAATGGTATCTCCGCTGATTATGATGCCATCTATGGCAAATGTTCCAAAGCATCAAAAATGACATTTACCCATGATCATTACCACTACTCAGCATCCAGCATGTTCAGTGAAATTTGAACGTTATGCTTTGCGATTCACTCAACTAACAACAATTTCTCATAAGCGCTCGCAAAACAGGAAAGTGCGTTCTTCACCTACAATAACCAAATGACGAAAGAAGAAGACTTACTGGAGGTGCAGTTGGATCCACCATGGAACCCATCCATCGAGTAGTAATCAGACCTACACCCTCAATCATGGCTAAAATCACTGAACCAAGTATAGCTGATCCTGCCATCACTTTTGGACCGCTCCTTATTGCCAACAAGGCGCCAGTCAAGCCACCAGAAGCAATCGAGTTGAATGGGTCCTCCTGAAACTCGACGTCAGCTAAAACGAAATTGTAATGGTTGCGTATATAATATGGGGGAAAATGGTTTTAATCTATTCCAGGGTGCCTTTGGAGCACTGCTCACTTTTCAAGCTGAGCAAACATTCATCATCAGGCTCATTTCCTGTAACAGTCACTTCATTTACTTGAATATAAGTATTTTTTCGATTACTTTTTTCATTTTATTTACTTGAATATCACAGGCTAAAAAATTTCACTTCCCTCGAGTTTAGATAGCTTACAATGTCTCTTAAAAGAAATTAGCACCTATCAAATGCCATATGAAAATAGGTCTAAATGTTGTGAAAGTGGAAAAACACAACACCTCCTCAACTAAAGTTAGCAGTGAGGAAACCGAAGTAATATCAACAAACCTTCTTTCGAATGGCAACTAGTGCGCAATCAATCGTACTGAACATCCCACCCCATGCAGCGAATTGTACACCAGTGATTGTACTTCTCATCCTTACTTCTCTAAGCATTCCAATCTGTAAAACATCAGTGTAGGAAAAACTGCAAGTGCATAAAAGCTGTATTGATAGAAAATAAGCTTTTAAGAAAGGCAAAATTAGTGATACTTTGTTCCGCTTTAAGGGAAAATTGTTATCTTACTACATATGAGGTACTTCAAACTTATTTTTACTTGCAATAATGGAGCAGCATAGGCATCACACTGACAAGGTTAAGGCAATGTGAAAGAGTTTCGAAGGAAAACTGGTTCAATAACACCTGGCTTTATTTTTAACGAGCACTGAATGAATGTTCAAAAACTTATAACAAAATAACTAACCAGTTTTTGGCCTTTGGCAGCATGTTTATAGCCAGAGAAGGCCTGAAATATTGAGCCACCCACAAGTCCCATAGCGAAGGCAGATCCGAGATCATCGCCAATTCGGTAGGGACTAAAATCATATCATCGTAAATACTAAATAAAGAAACAAAAAATTGAAGGGTGAGGTTAATGCTTCAAATGCTACTGTTGTATGGTCCTCTGCGTGACTACCGTTTCAGCAGAGGAACTGCCAACTTAGAAGTCTAGACACAAAAAAATAAGGATCGATAATCCCACTAATAAATCCTGCTACGACGAACATCTTAGTGAATGGTATTGCGGCAGTTGAGCCATTATGGTGAAAAGTTCTCAACGAAAGGGAACATATCCTCATTTTCTGATGAGTATATCCATCGTAATGACTATTTACTCTTATCTTCGAATGTAGGCACTCGGTATTGTCGTAAGGGTACCATAAATACGTTGAAATCAGATGTCATTATGGAAACACGAGGGCGCTACAATGTTAGCATTACCATAACCACTCTACACCAGAGTGAGGGCATAATTCCGTGGCGCAAAGCATACGGAATACTCGCGTTACACTACATGTTAAACGGATGTTTCCGAACTATTCCCACGTCTCCGAGCGAGAATGTACACGCTGGTCATATTCCTTGCTATTTTTGAAAACCGTTTAACAAAAACGAACCGCCCTTAAACGTGGATCTCGCTAAAAAAAGTACATAAGAAGTTTGCTGCGTTAAGATAATCGCATCAACTGGACTAGCAAGAGACCCTCAGTGTGACTATGGGGAGAAGAAGGAGATGCGGCTTTGCCATGCCTTAGATCAGTGGTCGTGTCTAATAATAAACTACAACTTTCACGCGTGAAATTCACGAATCGAAAAAGGATGAGCTTACCAAGGTTCGCGAGTGTATTCCTCCATCCTACACTCCTGTACTGAACCCTGAAACCATTTCATTACAAACTTTCCGACATACGGCGGTATAAAGTATGATCACTCCACGTTCGAGTCTCATTAATACGATGATTCGCAAAAGAAAAAGGGCAAGTTCATCAAAAATGGCACAGATTTATCAGAAAAGAATTTCTTCCAAACATCATTCTACCGAAACCCAGTCTCTTACAGAATTCGACTGATTACGTCATACGTGAACGTGAACGAAGATCAAGCTCATGAAAAAAAAGTGCAAATAACTTTGAAAACTGATTAGACGCCTGGCAAAGATGGAGGTTTCAATGATTCGAGCTTATCTTCAAAGCAACAGTTGATCACTGCCTCTCAAAGCCAAATATGATCAAGATTTTGAACACTAAAAAATAGCTGACGGCAACGAGAAAAGAGCCAGTCGGCACACCGTTTGCGCCAACTAATATCGTTAGCGCGAAATGTGGAGGGGACGCTTGCAGGAGAAGGGGATGGATTTGAAAAATGCTCCTATTATTAGTTCGATGTCAAGATCACGAAAAGATCAACTTTTCGTTTTGCTCACTATGATTGGTAACTTTCTGTTTTTTTGGATTCTTTAGATGTAACGCGTATACGAGGTATACACGTAAAGCTATTGTTGTTGAGTATTTAACTGTTCACAATCCTCCCAGTCTTTATTTGTATTGACGGGTGGGCACAGGAGGCAAGGTTTTTGCATCGAGACCAAGTTGGTTCTGGTTAGTCGAGCGTGCCCAGCTCCCCCATCATTTACGTCAAAATAGTTTGTTACTGACTTCCCTTCATGTGTTTGTCGACAACACCTTGCATTTTGTAGAAAAACATGGTCGATGACTTGACTTCGTTAGATTTGAGGTGCCAACCCTGGTTTTGCTTCGATTTCTATGACATTATTCTCATTTATCTACCCAGAATGTGTTACGTTAGCTTGGTTACGCTATTTATCGGGTATCGAACGGTTTGCTTCGAGAACGCAACAAAATGTACATGCCCGTCCGTGGCAATTTGCCAATTTTCGCAGAAATTCGTTGTGGGACCTCTGTTGGCACGGTGCCACGGCCGTGGCCCCGTTTCAACTCCGGTCCGCACATTTTTGGCTTGCGAATGAAAGCTTGGTTAGGATGGGGTAACGAAAGAAGTTGGGGGAGTTGATAAATTAAGTGATGAGAAAGT